CCTCTGTGTAGCGCGCAAGGCCCCTCCCCCACCTCTTTATACTGCGCATTGTGTGATAATATTTTTATATTTTTTAAGTTGTTGCAGTTCAGTTCCAATGATCAATTCCTACATTCATACCTAACGTAAGCTTCCTTTATCCTATTCACAATCCATTAGAAAACAAATCACTTGCTACTTGTGTATTGCTTTAGCCATTGTTCTAATGACGTGTTGGGTTGAGCTGAGATTATTTGAGGAATACCGTACCTAGGGATTCCATGTTTCTTCATATACCCACGCCTTATTCATGTTTTCTAAATGACCCTTTTCCCATGCACCACGTTTTCATCTGCGTGGTAATTGTGTTTCAGTTAGTCTCCAATATCATGCCTTCCAGATTTTAGCAGCCATAATTGTGTGTATTATAAAAAACAGTTCTGCTTAATTTCTGTTGGTAAATCCATATGAAATAAAAAAAAAATGAAAATACTTGCATTTCCACCAATTGGAAGGGTCCGAGATCTGCTGACACTTCATTTATGTCGTCTGCATCTAGAATGCTGTTAGTGTTGACTATCTGAGAGGGAGACATGCCTGAATTTCCATCCATTGGGTGTGTTCTCTCCCTCTGTGCTGATTATACTGCACTATATTTATTATTTTTTTTCCCCAATACTATTTGATTTATTGGTTTCTTATATTGTGTATATAGGCTGTATGTATATTTTTTGTATTCAGTTTTTTCTGTATTAAGTGTCTTGAAGGAACACTCTTTCCTTAAAGGACCCAATACATTTTTAGATCATATAGTGATTGTCTGGTTGTTTGCATTATAATTTATATATACTAACTGGTCCAAGACAAAATTCAACTTGATGCTCAAGTGCTCGATATCTGCTTTCTTCCAGATAAAATAATAATTTTGATTGCAAACTTTTAATTAATTCTGGACAAATATTTATTGAGATTAAGTTTATAGTTTGAAAAGGTACCATATTCGTTAATCCGTTCCAGCCTATCTCCTCCAACTCCTCCCAAATCCTCTTTATACATACTGTGACGGACCGCATGACTGGTACCTCAGTCAATCGCTGCTTCCTAGTACTTGCGAGCACCATAAGCACTGCAGTGGAACACAATTGCCACTGTATACCCCACGAACTGCCGCAGCTTGCTTGAGGTCTCGCTGTCCTCCACCCACCCTGGACCCAAGACCAGTGGGTAGACCTCTCCTAGTCCAGAGAGCGTAGCAGGAACCGCTCTTATAAGAGCTAGTGATTATACTCAGGGGAGTATTGTGATATAGCAATGCCCCAAACATGAGCCAAGACTTCATTAAGGGGTAAACGAATCTGTTTAATGGGAGCCACACTTGGTCTTATATGACAATCCCCATGCAAGGGGTACGCCCACAGAAATCTTGAGGGGGACGGTTTTGCGATCATAATAATAGGGCTTGACAATTTTGCTTTGACTTTGGGAGCCAGCTATAAAATTTCACAGGCAGTTTGTTTTTTGCTTTAAACTCTGGTTGTCATCCTTGAGGACGCAGAGCGGGTCTGGCGCTTCTTCTGTCTCCCTAGGTGAAATGCACACCAGGCACTCCTGATGTAACTTACGCCTATTTGTGCCGGGTGCCAGGAAATGGTGAAGGTGTGCTTGCACGCACAAGCTGGACGGTCCTGGTGGAACGCACACAAAGTTTGCGATGTGTAGATTGCAGCGTGCACTGCGCATGCATGATGCAATCTGTGTTCAGGTGCCAAAATTCTAATTTTTCAAGGCTTCTGCAGGGTGCTCCAGGGCCATGGAGGCTATAAAAGCCTAGCAGCAAAGATATAGCGATCGTTTCAATAGTGAGGCACATGAGTCCAGGGGGATCTGGCCTGGTAGCTGCCTGGGCCTTGCTCCAGCTCAAGGAAGTTACGGAGCGTTGATAGTAAGCTTTTTTTCTGGGTGTTGCGCCTATGACGTGGCAGGCCGTGCTCCTGTGCACAGCGGTTGAGCGCACGCCCGGGAGGCCTTGCGTTCCACTGAAATTCCAACTGCGCATGCACAAATCTGAATTTCAAAATTGGCACAAAATTCAAATCACCCAAGTATTAAGCTGTGCAAGATCCTACTATCGGTTTAAATGCTGTGTAGTTTGGATCTGCCATGTCACCAGCCCCCCACACGACGGTTTTTTTTTTTAGGTGAGATTGGTACGTCTTTATTTTTTAAGTGTATTTTTATTGATTTCATTTGAGATTTTCAGATTTGTCTAATCCTACTTCACCAGACAAAAAGAAAATAGTGACTCTCATGCAGTGATTGTGGTCCTCCTCTGCTAAGAGGAAGATTTGTTCACTTTGTTTATCTGAATCTATTGAAAAACCAAGCAGAAGGATATGCAATCATACCTTTCTTGGTTTCAGGAAAATCTGGCTCAGACGTTAGTCATTTAAAAAAAGGCAAGGTCTAGTGTTCCTGTAGCAATACAAGAGCATACTATAAAGAGGCACAAAAGATCTCCATTAAGGTCAGAAGTGTTTTCTGGAGAAGGTTTTTTGCTTCTGTATTTTCGGTACGTCATCGAGTGTGGAGATGGGATTCCCACCAGAGGAACTGAGTAAATATTTTTATTTTTTCCTTTGGTATTGAACAAAGAAGCATCTTCAAAACCAAAAGAGAGAAGTTTACCAGAAACCTCATATAGGAGAGCGTTCCAATCTGCTGGTGGCATTGACAGGAGCAGCGGTGGCTAAAGCCCAGAATATTGGGATACAAGCACTAGAAGATTGTATTATGGATGGTACAGACAAAGATCTATCACATCTTGTGTTGAATTTTGTTATCAAACAAGTATACCATGGATGTCTGAAAAAATTCTCAAATTAGCAGCTTGCATTATGGTTTTGTCATTGGTATCTGGACGGCTGACAGTGTTTCTAAATCATCTCTGTGTTAACGGTCTCTAGAAAGAAATAAGTTGTTTTGGAACATCTTTGGATGACCTCAACAGACAAATGTCTGAAACTAAAAAAGCTCTACCTCAAGATAGGATTATTGGAAGCAAGGTTACAAAAACTTTGTTTCGTACACGGCGAGGGTATGGGTATCAAGACCAATTTTAAGAACTTTCAGAGCCATAAAAAAAGATACCAAATTTGTTAATAAACTGAACACTCGTCAGGAAAAAAGAGATGCTGACATCAGGAGAGTTGGAGGAAGGATCCAAAACACTTATCACGCCTGGAAAAAGACAACAAAGAATCCGTGGGTTCTAAGTACTATTGCAGAGGTTTATACCCTCAAGTTTACAGAGAAACTGAAGACAACGTTTCTGGTTTCATCATAGACATCAAAAATGTCAGTCTGGTCTTGCAGAAAACAAGAATGTAAGGGCATGTATTCTCACCTCTTTTAGGTATCAAAACAAGATCTGTAGTTTTCTCCGGTATTGGCTTTGAAGCAAATGAACAAAATCATCCCATATGTGAAGTTCTGAATGGAAACTATTCTTTCAGCAACTCACGTTTTGCAGAGAGGGGACTTTTTGACCACATTAGACCTCAAGGACGCTTGACATCTTCACATCCCAATGGCGGTAAAATCCAGAAGGCTTTTAAGATGTGCCATAAAGGGGGGCGGAGCCTGACAACCAAGATGGCCGGACTTGTTTTCTAAGAGCTCCAGCACCGGTGGGTCAATAAACACTAATCCTGGCTAAACTACTGACGCTACCGACTCACGGTGACCAGAGAGCGACAAAGGAACAACCGATGAACAGGATGATACCTGTCCCGGACCAAAACGGGACGAAATTGCCTGAACCGGCCATGCGGCCTAAGCCAGAGCGGAGCCTGATGCCTGGGGGAGGCGGCCGATCTCCCAGCAAGGGGCACGCTCACATGCCCGATACAGCTCTGCTACCCCCCCTCCTCCCCTGGACCGGCGGGGGTCATCCTGGTCCTCGCTGGGGACGATCACCCCCATAACACAGCCTGCAATTCACCAGACTCAGGGTTCCCCCGGGACCACTGCTGTGAGAGCTCCTGGTCGACTCGGGGAGAGTACAGAGAAACCTGCAGAATGCCACGCAGAGCAAGCTGACTATACAGCAGGGCTGGAAGCAATATTTACAGCTTTTTGGCAGAAGCTTGAAAGGCGCATGCAACAACACGCCGATGCTACATATGGATTTCGTCCATCAAAGCGACCACGATGCGAACACAAAATGGATAACTCTGGCGCAGGCTAGCAAGTAAGCAGCACCAGCCTCTCCGGAACCAACCAGGTGACATCTCGCGGCACAAGCCGACCCCAGCTACAAAACAAAAGACCGCAGCGATGACACCCAGCCGAGCCCTATCAGGGCGGCAAGGCGGGAGACGTGCCGGGCAGAGAGGCACACATACCCACCCAGGTAGATTCCCAGAGGGGGAAAGCCTGCCTCGGGGTTACCCCCCAACATCAACAACGGTACCAGGGGGAGCAAGTTCATCATGGGGACGCAACATCCATAATGTCCTCCACAAGCCCAACACAGCGAACCGTAGCAGTGCAAGGGTGTCAAATATTGACAAGGGAGGCTCAAGCGGACCATCCTCCACCCTTCAGGGACACAGACACTCACAACACACGAGGTACCTCAGCCGAAACGGAGGCATACAGACACCACCCGCCCACCGCACCGCCGGCTCCACCAAGACAGCCCTGCGGGACAGAGATACACAGCCACCCGACACTCATACAGCCAAAGATGGATCCTTGCTACAACCCCGACCAGGGATGCCACAGCCGAACAGCACCCGCATGTACAAGGCCCAACACCGGCAGCAGCTTCATCCAACGGCGAAGGGGATCACAGCTGCACCTCCCGCATACCAGAGGCTCCTGCTGAAAACAGGAGTCGGGTGAACCCCCGAGACTGAGGTCCCAGAGACTATAAGCACCAACCACTGCAACTTACCAACGATACTACCCTCCTCTTTGCCTTTTAGCCTTGGGTGTATTTCCCTCTAATCTTGCAGAGTTATTCCTGTACCTAATCAGAGTAGCAGGTCTTTTATATATTCCTATAGATCTCTCATTATAGACAGCTGGCTACAGATGTCCACCTACTGTATAGGTGCTATATACCAACCAGCTACTGCCATACTGCAAAACATGCAATTTACGTTATAATAACCTAGTATTGTCAAGCATCAATCATTATAGTTTTGTACTTAGCCTGTATACCCTCATACAAGTACAAATTTTTTTTTCCTAGTGTTACAAATATAAGTTTCAACTGACGTGCCATTATCCTGTTGCCCCTGCAGTTTTGAAGTGACAGAATACCCTTGATACCTACACTTTCTTCCCATCTGCAGCCTATACAAACTACAGGACTAAACGGGATGCTAATTACCGTTGTCTTTATTTCGATTTTTTTTATTATTTATTTATTTTTTTGCACTTTTTACGAATATTGCTGTTGTAACCAGTATAGCGAGGGAACAGAATAATTCATAGTCCTTTGCATTGTTCTTGCAGAAACACTAGCCTACACACTAAATCTATGTGGCATTAACACATCTTGCTTAAGACCACCTATATATGCCTAGATTTGATACCTATGAGCAAGCCCACTGGGCTTTACTCATGTCAGCTCATGCTGATAATGGGCTCTTGTAGGCTAGAACCATGATTAATGCTTAATCTTTATACATATATCAGTATCTTATAGCATTTATGTCATAGCAACGCTCATACACCTACTCAGCCCTAGAGGCAATACTACTCTTGTAGGCTAGAACCATGATTAATGCTTAATCTTTATACATATATTCCTGATAGTATTCAAATCGTCTACTCTACTCCTCGTGGCTACCAACTTGGTTGCAGCTAATGTTGAAGCAAATGTTATAGATCTCTTTAACAAATCTCTTAAAAATTGTGCTGTTAATTCCTGCCATGTTACTGATTATCTTGTGTTGTTCCATCAGCTTGTATCAGCTGTCGTGGCGATATAAACTTGTCTGTAATTCTTAGCACAACAAATAAAGAATTAAAAAAAAAAAAAAAATTTGGCATAAAAGTGGATTCAAACAACTACCATTTCCAGTTCAAAGTCATGCCCTTCAGCTAAAATTCTTACTCCACTTATGGCAGCTCTAAGAGAAAAAGGAATCTCTATAATCCCTTATCTGAACGACTGGTTTCTAAAAGCCAACTCATAAACTTCTGTGACATGTTCAGACTTCAATTCTTTTTCTGGAAAATCACAGATAATCAATCAGGAAAAGTCACAGCTACAACCTTCCACACGGGGGTTACATTTCTGGGCTTCCTGATATTCAAAAACTTTATCCCTTCATATGACACTAGAAAGAAAAAAAGTTAAATAAAGAAACCACCTTCTTGCAACAAGCTCGAAGTTGTTCCTTGAGGAGAATGATGAGTGTCCTTGGCATTTTGAGGCATCCATTCCCGAAATAAAATGAGCCAAGAGACTCTCTTAATGGGAAATCTTGCAGAAGTGCATCAGGAAAGATCTGGGTGAATAATTTGTAATTTTTTTTATTTTTTTTTCTCTCTTATAAGGTCAGACAACAACTCTCATGATGGAAAGAATCCAATTTAATTTCAAAAGGCTTTTCCTTGAAGCAAAGAGTGGTATGTTCTAATAGATGCTTCAAAGATTTGCTGTGGTGCTAATCTACAGTGACGCATGTGTCAGGGAGTCTGGTCTACCAAAAACGCAAACCGATTGGCAAATTGCAGAGAATTAAAGGCAGTCTTCAATGCCATGATTCATTTCAGACCAGGGATTTTAGGAAAACTAATAACTGTCCAATCCGACAACAATAATATGGTCTTGTATATAAACAGTCAAGGCCGAACGAGTTGTCATCTCCTTTGTTCTGAGCTAATGTCATGGGCTCAGAGAATGAGATCTGGCAGCCACTCATATAAAGGGAAAAGAAAATTCTGTTACATTTTCTCAGCAGAGCAAGGTGGTCCCAAACAGAGTAGTCCCTTTATCCAGACCTGTTCAGTGTTCTCGTGAAGGAATGTGGATATCCACAGATAGAACTTATGACAAGAAGACCAGATTGGTCAGACGTTAAGACAATCAAATGGGGTCCAGATTTGGCATACGTCTTCCTTCCGGTAGTTTGGATTCCCAGAGTCGTACAGAAAATCAGAACGGACAGAGCTCTCTGGTACTTGCTAAAATTCCATATTGGTCCAACTGAAGTTGGTTTTTTGAATTAAAGATGATGGCAATCGAGTTTTGGTAGCTTCTCACTTCTCTGCTACTACTCGAAAACAAGCATCTTCTTCTAGAAATGCTTCAAATGTTTCGATTGGCGGCTTGACTGCTGCAGGGTTAATCCTTAAGTATCATGGGATTCAGCAAAACCGTGTGCATCTACTTCAATGCTCCACCCAAAAAAATCTACATCCAAAATATACCTTCAGATATGGAAAGAAATTTCTCACTGGTGTAAAGAACATGACTGCCTTTATTGGTCTCCTTCACAGATGCTATTTTCCTACAGGACAAGTTTTAAGCTGGTCTCCACAGTTTCTTCTTTAAAAGTGTGTAAAACAGCTCCCTTCAGAAGATCGGATGGCCTATTTATTTATTTCCAGGGAAAAGCTCAAGGAAATATGATCTTGAAACATACACTACCCACATGGCTTACAGAAACATCAAATAATGCTTTAATTCCAGAGGTTTACAGATTCAAAATTCCTCTCCTGCAACGGTCATAAAAAACAAACAAACCACTTAATCTTCAGTGAATAGTATTTTACCAATCTACTTCCCTAATATTCTCCTTACCTTTTGTGTCCCTTTACCCCCACTCCCTCTAGCATGTAAGCTCATTGAGGAGGGCCTTCAACCCCTCTGTTCCTGTGGGTTTTTTTTTTTTGTAGTGCATAGTTTAACAGACATGCTTGCATTAACAATTCAGATGATTGTCACAATGAAATATAACATGAAAAGTCAATGTGACAGACTCCTCTGTCTTGGAACTATGCTTCTATTCTGTTGCCTTCGTCTATCTTTCGGTTAATTGCCTGTCCGTACCCTCCGTTCACTTATTTCACAAACTGCCGAATAAACTACCGAACGATCGACCACCTGGGAACTGGAGTGTGCCATCAATTGACCTCCCAGAAACTGCGGTTAACCGCAGCTTAATTGGTCAATGTTGGGAGGTGGCTGTTCGTGTAACTCCCATGTGGTGGCGGCCATTTTAAAGTCACGAACGGCCAGCGGTGTTGGGCGCCCAAACTATGGAACTGAAAACAGACACTATTTTGCACAAACACTGCTGAAGCCGCCGACCTCCCTTCTCTGCCATCCAGCACACGAACGTCGGTCCGTTCGGTACTTTCCGGCATTAATAGACGCACCCCAGATAGCCATCCCATGGAGCCCGTTCATATACCGAAAGACAATGTGAAAGACTCCATGGCGATTGAACTGTATGCATAGGATCTGAGCGCCATTCGGTAATGTGGTGATTCTGTTTGTGGAATTTAAAGTTACTGATTTTATTGTATTTTAATGTTCAGGTACAAAATCGAGTTTAGCTTCTATCCATGAAGATAATTAGATTGCTTCCCAATTATCTCCAGGATAGAGTGGAGGGTTTATCTACACCCTCCTTTCTATCCACTGTGATTGGCTACTGTATCCATACTGTCCCGGTCTTCCATCTGGTCCCCTAGGGGAGTGTCCACCAGGTGGGAGACCTGCATAAATACCGGGCAGGTAGCCCTCAATAAACCAGATCTCTGCTTAACCCTCAATACGAAGCTTGGTCTCGTACTTGGGGGTATTGGATTTGTATGATTTACTCGTTCGGCTGTTTGGTTCGTGAAGGATTTATTTTGTATGGTTCTTGTTCGGCTAATTGGAACTGCTGTTAGCTGCTTCTTCATTCGGAAAGGGAACGTCCTCAATGGTATTAACCCCTCTTATACCGGGGTGTACCGTAACAGTCAAGAATACTGCACTTGGGACAGGGAAGGGAGGGGGGAAAGAACACTATGGGAGAGGGGAGGGGGAAAAGAACACTAGGGGAGGGGGGGAGAGGAACATTAAGCGGGTAATGGACCACTAAGAGAGCCTGTAATCCTATTAGAATTAAATTCATTAACCAGTCTAATATTGAAAAAAATATAGGGAAAAAACTTTTTAAATTTGGGGAAAAGTCATTTTTGGTTTTCAGCCAAGGGCATCCTGAATTTTTGGTTTTGGCCCAGAATTTATTTCAGTGCATCCTTACCTCAAACACTCCTACTTGGTTAGACATCACGATCATTATGTACTGTCACTATCCGGTATCAAGACTAGTCATCTGGGAGAACCGGTTCAGATCACATATTACCCTACGCAAAACGGATGGTGCCCATTGAAGGTTTTGGAGGCTTATCTCAAAACCCTTCCTAGACCATCCGACACACCTTTGCTGTCACTTCGCAGGGCAGTCCTAATTACATCAAAGTTCATGTTGTTAGTAACAATCGTATTTACAAGATTAGGTTTAAATCCTGGTAGCTATTCTGGACACTCGTTCAGGATAGGGGCCAGATCTATGGCCTCCAGTCAGGACATACCAGTCCATGTTATTAAATAACTAGGTCGATGGAAGTCATCCGACTTCTCAGTAGACATACCGCAACCCATACAGGAGATGCAGAGGGCTTTTGAAACCATGTCATCTTAAGGTATTTCTTTGTATTATGTAAATTGTATTAAAATTTTCTTAGCTAAGATACTACTTCCTTTTTGCCCACTTTATTTACTGACCTACCGCTTAAGTCTGTTCCGGCACACTTCAACAGACTTTGTCCTATAACATGTTGCGTCACTACACGACTTTTCATCAATATATCGCCGGCTGCACTGAACACGTGTGTATGTATATGTGTAGTGACAAACTCCCCTTTTTAAGGGAGTTTGCCATGAGTTTTTTTTTTTTTTTGGAGGGACCTGCTTGCTTGCCTCCTGCCCTGGGGCTGGCCCCTGGGGGGTATTGCCGTTTAAAAACCCTATTTGAGCTTACGGGGTTTTAATTAACTCTTTCTGCCCCTTTTAAAATTCTGTGGGAAAGGATCTGCCCTTTTGAAATGGCACTTTGGATACAGTCGAAGTGGCCGCCATTTGAACACACGGCGGCCATTTTAATTCAGTTGAACACGTTCAGCGGTGTTTGGTCGTCGAGTTCATGGAACTCAAATCGGATACGCGACGGCATGAACATTGCTGAACTTGGCCTTGTACAGACTTCAACACTTCGAATATTCGAACGCACTTCGATTTCCGAACGCCAAGTTAACAGTCGATATCTGCACGAACAGCTCCATTCGTGAATTCGAACGGAAATTAGCATTTGAAACTATTGGAACTAGACCGGCCGCACAGCCAAATTCTGTGGAACTATTTTGGTCATGAAATCCATGCTTGCGGTCGGTCAAATGTGACTTCCATGGAACTTTTGAACCCCTGCTCTGATCTGAGTGATTTTTGGATATGTTGTTCACCAGATCAGGGATATAACATTTATGGGGATACGTTGTGTTTTGGGGTACTTCTTGGGGTTTGTATAAATGTATGATTTTTTTTATTTATTTTTTTTCTGCCTGTGGATAATTGTTATTCCATTAGCTAGCTTAATTATATCACAGGCAGAGAGGAGGGCTTGCTAACTGTATGTGGGAGTGTTTCGGTGTTAATTATTGTTTCTATTGTAACTTTGTGTCCTGTGCTCCACAAGGTCCACGTGGGTGGTAACCTTGTGGGAAAATACTGTATAAAAGAAGCAGCTCTATCATTAAACCTTCAGTTCTACTTCAATCTCAATCTAGAGTCCTGTCTCTTATTGGGGGGAATCTGCTACAAGAGATTGCTATGCTATAATCACTAAGCTCTTCTAAGAGCCTGTTTCTGTCCTGCTTTACTCTCTGGGGAAAGAGCGGTTCACCCACTGGAACCTGGAGCCTTGTCGTAGGTCCAGGGTGGGTAGGAGACGACGAGACCTCAACCAAGCTGCGGTGGTTCATGGGGTCTGCGGTAGTTATGGTCTCTGGAGTCTTTGGAGTCCTCAGGAAGCGCTAGGAGCATCCTTCAACGGAGGTACCCAGATATATATATATACTTGTGTAGTTGGTGGGTTATATTGCCGTGTGTGTATATGTAATTGCGGTGATTTACCAGGTTTTTGGATACTTATTTCTCTTCCTTTATGTATTCTTTCTGTGTCCATCATAAATGATTTTATGATCGCTCCCAGCATTTTTAGGTCCGTCCCAGATGCAAAAAGAGCTTAATTCATTGTATCTAAGGGGGTAATATTCCTCTTTGTGGACTTTAGGACTTTGCTTTCACAGATAAGAGACATTCCTGGCAGCGGAGTCCATAGGTTAGCGAGACCTTTAATGGGAGTAAGGGTTACTGTGCGATTCCTGGGGCACACAGAGGACACACTGTCACAGTACTTTATATACTTAACGCGCAAGGTACTTTGTAGCACCCTGACATTGAAATTCCGCTGACTTTGTGAATATTTTTTATATTTTTAATATGTATGTGCTCCTTTGTCTAGTCTCTCTATTGTCAGTGGATGCTGTATAAATCCATATTGATCACTGAGCTGCCAAACACCATAACCACTACAATACTAATGTGCTAATGTTCACAGGTAGTGTGATGCTTGGAACCAAGCGTCTGCTCCCATTTTTCAGAACCTCCAATTAAGAAAGGCGTGTCTCTGCAGGAGAACATTGCTGTGAAGGGAGCTGTGCTTTATTGGTGAGGGGAACCATAAGATTAACTCCCACCAACCTCAAGCAGCCTGGAACATCTTTATCCTGATAGTAAACCAAGTTAGCAGGGTCCCTAGTAAACCCTGGTGTGTGCACCGTGATGACAGGGGACCAGCAATTTCTGGCACATTAGCTGGAAATATATATATATTTTTTTTTTTTAAATCCTATTTTATAAATTAAACGATGTGGAAAATAATCTGATGCTGGAAATTTGTCTGTCCATTTCGCGCGCTCTGTCCATCTTGCACTATGTATGTATGTGTTTTGGTGCCTCCATCTCCCACTGTCTATAATCTGTCTGTCTTGCAGTATGTCCAGCTTGGAATGTGTGTGCATGGTCACTAAAATGCCCTGTAAATCACAAGGCTGGAGACGTTATGCACTACTTTGCCTTCTTGCTTCTTAGGGGTGTCGTGTCTACCAGAGGCTGACCCCCTTGTTCTAGGTGCAAGGAGGCCTACGAGAGGGGATCTCCTCCCCCCTCTGTGCAGATTCTGCTGACCCAGCAGCTTCTCCTGAGTACAATCTTAATCCTCAGGGATTTTGAGGATTTAGTGAGAGCCTTACCTGACACGTCTGCATACCCTGGTACCTAGTGCAGCAACAGCAAAGGAAACTGGGAGAAATTAACACAATCTGACCCCTGGAGACAGAGGGTGGTCTGTTCCCAAAAGAAGGGGCCTTCTTGAAGGAAGAGAGGAAGAACTGATTCTAATCTCAAGGGGATTAGACTGGGAGAGAACCTACCTCCCTTGCTGCAACAACCCTACCACCCCCCCATTCCTAGACTCTAGGAACCCCCACCCACTTAAAGAGGATCTACTTACCAGTTTCAGACTCTTCCCATCTCTAAGGGCAAAGATTTATTTTTCATTTTAGAAGAAGTGGTCCAGCTCCCACTAAGAATGCTGAGCAATCAGTCCACGGTTTGCCTGTTCTCGGGGGTCTGTGCCACCCTGTTTGCGCTGGCACTGGTGTATTACTTGTATTGGTGAGTGTAACAAGGCTCTCTTTCGGGATAATAATTCACGTGGTTAAGCTTATCTGTCTTTGAATCCATTCTTGTGTGATTGTTTGGTGGGTGTTTGAATGTTTTGCCTAAGTACAAATGACACTGCGTCTACATATTCCCCATCCCCCACGCTGTGAGCTGCCCCCTGTGTGCAGTCCTTGACTGAGCTGTTTTTTGGTGGAAGTGTTAGAATTTGGTTTAAGAAAGCTGTTTGTGGGTAGTCCACTCCCAGGTCCAGAAATCCTGCTTATTATTAGAGACAGATAAGCTCAGTTTTTCCACAAATTCTGAATACATTGGCACCTTAAAAGCACCTTTCCTGTGATAAGTGACCATTCCAGGATAGGTACCCCATTCTGTACATAGTAAAGTGTAAATGTACTTTCCTGATGGAGAACTATTTGGTGGCAACCTTTTTTTATTTTCACGTTAGCCTCTGGGTCTTCATGTGTTTGCCAGGCGGTGTTTTTACATGGTTAGTGGGAGAATAGGTACAGTGTGTGCTGGGCGGTGTTTTTACATGGTTAGTGGGAGAATAGATGCAGTGTGTGCTGGACGGTGTTTGTACTCAGCGGGAGAATAGGTACCGTGTGTGCCGGGCAGTGTTTGTACATGGTAAGTGGGAGAATAGGTACAGTGTGTGCCGGGCGGTGTTTTTACATGGTTAGTGGGAGAATAGGTACAGTGTGTGCCGGGTGGTGGCTGTACTCGGTTAGTGGGAGAATAGGTACCGTGTGTGCCGGGCGGTGTTTGTACTCGATAAGCGGGAGAATAGGTACCGTGTGTGCCGGGCGGTGTTTGTACATGGTTAGTGGGAGAATAGGTACCGTGTGTGCCGGGTGGTGGTTGTACTCGGTAAGCGGGAGAATAGGTACAGTGTGTGCTGGGCGGTATTTGTACATGGTTAGTGGGAGAATAGGTGCAGTGTTTGTACTCGGTAAGTGGGAGAATAGGTACAATGTGTGCTGGGTGGTGTTGTAGGGATTTAATCAGTTGGGTGGGTTATGTACTTTGTGCACTGGGTCGGGTTTGAACTTTGAGTGTTTTTGGTATAAATAAAACGTATAAAAGGGTATGTTCGAGAAATTGACTGTGTTTGCAAATGAAAACTAATACACAGCGTTATGCTATTGGCGATGTCCATTAAATAGATCCTTACGGTGCACTTACAATGGAAAAGGAGAAATGTTGTCAATAACGGTTTGGTGGATTCCCTGCGGCTAGGAGGATGGTTTTATATAGTCACTGTCATGTACACTGGAACTAATCGTTCTGACATGGGGGATTACATGGGGCCATTGGGCTCAGTACCATAAGATTGCTTGATGTTAACATCTGGCACATAACTGGGGGGTGGGGATTGTGGACATAGCAGGGTGTTGGGGTTCATTGAATACAATGTACACACTTCAAATCATACTGAGGAAGTGACAGTATGCCTCTTGTGCTTTCTTCTCAAACTGACCCATCTCATTCTGTTTTTTTCCTCACAGGACGGTGGCTCTGAGTGAGGGTCCGTGTAAGCGGCACTGAGCGCAGGAAGCAGAAATGGGGGTTTGGGGGTTCGTGAAGACTCAGTTTGTGGTTCATCTTCTCATTGGCTTTGTGTTCGTGCTTAGCGGCCTCATCATCAACTTCATTCAGCTCTGCACTGTTCCCTTGTGGAGTATAAACAAGCAGGCGTACCGCAGGCTCAACTGCCGGCTGGCATACTCCCTCTGGAGCCGTGAGTACCCCAGTGTCTAGCTAAGATTCGCTGAGTGATGCTAGTCTCATTGTAATATGGGATTATTTTTAGATAATGTCACAGTATGATTCTTAGCGCCTCTCTATTTAGCCCTGCAGTAGAAAGGATCTCCTTGTTATATAATGCTAGATATTGGTATGGTGCTGGCAATCATTCACACTGTGTTGTTCCCTAGAGCTGGTGATGCTGTTGGAGTGGTGGTCTGGCACAAAATGCACTCTCTTCACGGACCAGCAGACGGTGGATCACTTTGGGAAGGAGCACGTCATCATTATCCTCAATCACAATTTTGAGATTGACTTCTTGTGTGGCTGGACCATGTGTGAACGTTTTGGAGTGCTCGGGGTGAGTGTGAGATCCATATCTCTGCTGAGCCCACTTAGTGTTTAAAGAGGCTGAGACACTCCAGGTTAATACCTGGCGAAACATTTTAGAAGATTATCGCCCTGTTTCTGGTGACAAAGCTACCTCTAACACAAGGAGGCTTACCTGTGGAGAAATATGCTTGTAGCATGACTTGAGGGAACCTAATTCACTGTGGCCTCTAATCCGATGGCACATTTACCATAATCAACCAGTTGTAGGGTGCTCATAAATCTCCAAGTATAGATCTACTCAACTGATGGCGATCATGGCTGGAGGTTCCTCCCTTCCCCTCACCTAACTCCTAGACACTCTTCTTTACTGCATCTCCCAGCTCCTAGACCCTGTCTCGCTGTATCTCTCTAGCTCCTAGACCCTGTCTCGCTGTATCTCACTAGCTCCTAGACCCTGTCTCGCTGTATCTCTCACTAGCTCCTAGACCCTGTCTCGCTGTATCTCTCACTAGCTCCTAGACCCTGTCTCGCTGTATCTCTCACTAGCTCCTAGACCCTGTCTCGCTGTATCTCTCACTAGCTCCTAGACCCTGTCTCGCTGTATCTCTCACTAGCTCCTAGACCCTGTCTCGCTGTATCTCTCACTAGCTCCTAGACCCTGTCTCGCTGTATCTCTCACTAGCTCCTAGACCCTGTCTCGCTGTATCTCTCACTAGCTCCTAGACCCTGTCTCGCTGTATCTCTCACTAGCTCCTAGACCCTGTCTCGCTGTATCTCTCACTAGCTCCTAGACCCTGTCTCGCTGTATCTCTCACTAGCTCCTAGACCCTGTCTCGCTGTATCTCTCACTAGCTCCTAGACCCTGTCTCGCTGTATCTCTCACTAGCTCCTAGACCCTGTCTCGCTGTATCTCTCACTATCTCCTAGACCCTGTCTCGCTGTATCTCTCACTA